TAATCAATTTGAAGATGCCGTCGCAGAATGGAGTGCGCAACGTTGCCCGGCTGCTGACACACTGCAGCCCGCAGAATCACGTGAACTTTTTGGTGAAGATGTTTGACTCGAACGATTTGGACTATGCAGGAGGGGAGCTTGGAAGTATTCAGGATGCCACCAACGGCCATGTGAGCTTCTTGTCTACAAAGCTTTCGTCGATGGTCATGAAGACAGATGACGAGTTTGAGGCAGGAGCTTCCTTGCGTTCAACTGGGTGGCTGGTTGAACCATGTGGATGTTCGCATGAACGGGGCTACCCGATAGGATCCATCTGTTGATGGTTAGGATAACCGATGGTTGAAGACAGACGGGGTGGTGGATTTCAGTTCCCAAGCATTTTTGTTCAGTCTTTTGCGTCAATTCATGAGTGAAGACGGTCAGGCCAAGATGGTTGCAGGGTATCACGATGATAAACGGTTATTGATTGTTTTGACGAAGTAATGGTGAGTGGGTAGCGCTTTTGGAGTCTATGTGTTAACCCTAAACCTTTGAACCCTAAACCTCTGAAGTGTATTTGTTTTATGGAATTTGTTGAGTCGAGTGTTCCTTTCCATGACCCTGCTGCTTTGTTGTTCTGCCTTTTAGGGTTTAGGGTTTCTGCTTTTGAGCTTCCTTGCTTCTCTGCTATTGGGTTTTCTGCTTTTTTGCCTCTTTGCTTCTCCGCTTTGCTGCTTCTCTGCTTTTGTGCTTCTCTCCGTTTCTGCTGTTCCTCTTCGCTCTTAATTGGTGCTGTGTTTTCATTGCTTTCCTGCATTTCAGTTGTTTCTTCCTTGGACATTTTTTTTTGTTCTGCTTTCTTCGTTTAATGACTGCTCTTTGTTCTACACATTTTGTGTGCATCACTTGTTTGTTGATTCAGTGTTTGTCATCATTTTCACCCTCATATCCATCATCAACATCACCACCGTTGTATGCCTCAAATTCAACATTATCACTATCTTCATCTTCATCTATTGCTTCAGTATGTTTTATCATTTGTCATCACGTATTTTCGTATGATTATCTTGTTTTCCTCCTCCTCCTCATCCTCCTCCTCCTCCTCCTCACAATCTTCATTTAGTCGTAATAGTTACGATCATCCTCATGATAAGAATGATAAAATGACCATAATCTCATCACTGGCATTATCAGGTTCACCAGGGTGGAGGGAGGCGCTGCGCCCTCCCCCCCAACCCCCTCCAGCTCTTAACACAACAACGAGGACAACAACAAGCTCTTCAAATCCTACCAAATGGAAAGGTGAGTGAGGATACGAAATGCTTCAAGCACCCTGCCTAATGGAGAGATTCTGTCAAGCATGTCGTAAGTACCACGGCAAATACAAGGCCGAGAAAAAAAGCATGCCAAACGGCAGGTCGAAGAGCCGAAGCCTGGTAAACCCGGTAAACTGCAAGGGAACCGGCTCGACCACCAACAACAAAAAATCCCAAACGAAGAACACATGAATTTTCGCTATCACATTTGGTACCATATTACAGGATGAAACCAGCCCAGTCTTTCATGCTGGAGCGGCATTGCAGGTGGAATGATAGCATATGCTTAATCGTAGAAATTGGATGCGGAAGATGTTGAGACCTCGGGTGACATAGAATTCGGAGGGAAGCTTGAGAGCAAACCTGGACTTCTGTTCGGAGAGGTTCTTGGAACATGGGCTTCCTTGGGTGGCAGTGAAGCCGCAGCGAAGTTCCTCGAGTCCAGACAGAAAGCTGGAGCGACGTTGCTGAGCACAAGCGGCGAGGGCTGCACCGAGGCGCGAGAGCAAGAAGCGGACGCCTGGGCCTGGACCAGCGTAGGGTTTAGAGTTTTAGGGTTTAGGGTTTTAGGGTTTTAGGGTTTTAGGGTTTTAGGGTTTAGGGTTTAGGGTTAGGGTTTTTGGCGCTTTCTGGGACACCCCAGAAGTGTGGAGATCTTTCTCAATTCTTGAATCAAATAAATTGGGAACTCTAGAGATTACATCATGATACATCTGCTGCCAGCTACCAGTTGGGTCGGCTGAACTCCGGGATTTCGGAGAGGGTTGGTGTTGCCATGCTGCTCCGAGGAGAAGATTTGCGCCAAGCACCTCGAGAGGGATGGCATTCACGCAGAGATCTTTAAGAACCTGGGTTGCTGTTAGGGTTTAGGGTTTAGGGTATATTATCCCCCTATAATGGAGAATCAAATGGAAAAGAAAATGGAAAATTAAATGGAATTTACTATATATATATATATGCCCATT